GCTACATGATCCCGTGCAACTGCAGCGCCTGGCCCAGCCCCGGGCTGCAGCCGCCGCTCGCCTACATCCTGCTGCCGGGCATGGGCAAGCCTCAGCTGGACCCTTACCCCGCGGCCTACGCCGCCGCGCTATGACCCCGCGGGGCCGCCTGGCGAGGGTCGGTGTGCACACATGTACATATGTATAGGTACGAGCTCTGCGGCCACCCGGTGCGCCCTCCCGCCACGGGGGACCGCGGGTTGTTTGTACATAAGATGTATAGGTGCCAGGCAGAGGCAGAGATGCCAGTCGGGGCGCGAGTGCGCGTGTGAATTCACAGGATCATTTCGGAACCGCGCTTCGGCAGCCAGCTTTAAAGTGGGCAGTTGTATTCCGGCAGGAGTTGGCGTTTGTTTTGCACTTCGGAACCTGTTGCGTTTTGGCCCATAGAGGTGGAGTCACTTTTTGACATGTTGGGCACTCCAGTTTTGTTTGTTGGAAGTTTATTGTCGGTTTTATTTTTGTTTCTCATTATCTTTCTCTCATTTTTTTTTCCCCTCTCCTGGTCTGCGTTGCATGCACACTGTTCACATGTTAGGTCTGAAATGGCTGACACCAGGGAAAACCAGATCTATGCCATTAGTTTCTTTGGAGCGGGATGGTGCTAAGCAACCTTGCTCCCTATTTGTCCTATTTGAACTTTGCCAATCTCTGCTCTCTCAAGCAGAAACCCCAGACCGGATCCATTCTTGACCAGTGACCAGCTCGAATCTGGCCTTTTGTATGTGAGATGATCGCGGTTTCTTTTGTTTCTCACGCCATATGCAAATCAGAGCAAGAGCTCTTTCTCAAGAGCAAGGAATGCAAACAAGAAATATGTGTGCGATTGAAAAGTTGTCAATTGGATCTTCCCCCTTAAATAAAAACAAAACAGGTGGGAATCACCCTGAGTCCACTCCACTCACTTGGATTGCTGACACAGTTTATAGACAATGTAAAGGCCCTGTTTCTATTTTCCCCTATGGCTGAGATTGTAAATGTGTACATGTTCGTGAAAACATTAAGTCTGAGAATGTGTTATTTGCGTTGCCCTAAATTTGAGTCGATTTTAGACTCTAAAGCATTTTGAGCAAATATCAAAGTTAACTTTTTAAAAATTACAATTTTAACTAAGATTAAATCGGACTTTTTTTTTTTTTTTTGCCTGAGTGGCAATTATACATTTATTATTTAGCAAAACTGAAAAGAAAACACCCACAGAATTGTTTTGACAGATGTCTCTCGTTGTCAGCCAGCGTTTCTCCACCAACTTGAACCGTATAAATGTGTTTTGGAATTCCCTCCCTAATTAGCTTATTTTTTAGATCATCTGCAATTCATTTGCAATTTATGATAAAACACATTTTAGAGAAAAGAACCTTCCTCAATTATAGCTTTTGTGTTTCTTTTTAAATGTATATATTTTGACTAATGTTTGTGAATGAAGTTGGCTAACATGTATTTAGTTTCATTTTGGCTTTATGTAATATACAGTTTTTAAAAGTTTAAGTATTGGTTTTAACCTTTATGTGTAAATGGTTTTCTTGTGTGATCTTCTAATTTAATATTAGACATCTAAACTATATCTGTAAATTAGAATCCGACTATCGCTCTGTTCATTTTTTGAACAAAGAGTTTAAATAAAGCCTGAACCAGGGAAAAGAGAAAATCCTCCATTTCTTGTTGAGTTCCTAACAAGATTTTTATCTGAATTGCCCTTATGTGCCTGGTCCAGGTGAAGTGTAAGGTATCCTCCAAAGGCAGCCTTTGTTTCGCTTTTGAATAGATTTACTAGGAAATCTAAATCAAGCCATTGTTATTCAGAGCCAAAAACCTGATTTATCACATTTTTAATCGTGAATAGGAAAGAAGATTTAAAAACCCAAGTAGTTGTATTATCTTGAGGGGGAAAAAAAAAAAAAGGCATTCATGAGCCAGTAGAACAGAGCCCATTGAAAACATCCAGACCGTTCAAAGCGTTTCACTAGTTTCCAGTAACATTTTAAGAGGGGAAAGTTGCCTGACCACTTTATCTCGTTAGTAGGAGAGCCCCGCCACTTGCACCAGTGTAATTTGTTCACGTATCTTTGGCATATACCTTATTTACACCTTAAGATTTTATGTGGAAGAATTACCACAGCTAACAACAACATACAACGTTTGGCCTCTGTAGGGCTTTATTTTGTCATGCTAATGGCATTTAAATAGAAGTACAACACATTCTAATGGAGAGGGTTGAATTTCCAGATCTAGACAAGTTTCCACTGGAAAATGTTTGAAATCACAAAGGATTTTACTTTTAGAGAAGAGATTATAAGGCACCAGGAAGAATATCAGAGAAAAAATTAATTAATAAAGGGAGATTTTTATCCCCCCCACCCCTCATGAAGTAGAAATTCTCAAGACACAACACTCAACTAGTTTTAAACTCCTTCCCCATTGACAGAGACCATCTCTGGAGCTGCAGTCTTTATAAGCAACCCCAACTCTTTAAAGTCATTGTTTTTCCCCCAATGGAATATTTTAAAAACCATGAAAAGTTTTGGAAATGTGAGAAAAAGGCTCTGCTGGTTTGACCCTGATTCACTAATTAAAACGATCCCTCTCCTGTTATTCCCCGAGCTCTTTGCAATATTATAAGTTAATTCATATGGTTCTGAGCGATTATGCAAAACTAATTTGGACTGTCCAGGGGTAATTATCCCTGACACGGTTAATTAAATCCTTTCAAGCCTTCGTCTTTGCCTTTTGTAGCAGCCCATCACTTCTCAACACGGCACTTCCTGCGGCTCTCTGGAAATCACCCCAGCCCTAAATCTTAGTTACCTCCCCGAGACTCCCAGCTCGGGCCCCACCGGCCGAAGATTCCCCGCCCCCTACCGCCCCCTCCCCTTTTCCCAAAGAACAGCGCTTTCTGGGAGCCACGCTCTGGAGTATTGAATGAGAAGAGGACTGGCAAGATAGAAGGGGAGGAGGGAGGATGCCTGGGGTGAGCGCGCAGGGTCACACAGCCAACAGATTGCGCGGCAGTTTGAGTACGTCCACAGGCCCACAGGGGGTGACTAGTTTATCACTCCTCTGTCTTCAATGGCCTTGCTAACCGGTTGCGCCTGGAGAAAGCTAGACAGTGCGGAAGTAAGGGGAGCGATCCCGGGACAAGAGGAGGAGGAGAGGGCCCGGTGTGTGTTTAAGAGTCTGAAAGTGACCCACAGATACAGCGCTGGGACTAAGCCAAGAGCTGCTGCAAATCGAGACCTCCACCTACCCATGTCTATACCTCTCTCCCACCCTCCTTCCTCCCTTCCCTTCCCTACCCTTCCGTTTGTTCTTGCACTGATGCTTCTTTTTACGGTTTAAAAAAGCCACGACATTTCTTGGGTAGTCACGGGCTTTAAACAAGTCTCACATGCCAGGGGCCAGGCGTGTTGCCTTTCAGCTTTGTGCAAACAGGTGGAATTGTTCTGCTGGAGCTGTAAGGACCGGAGCTGGGGGACGCGGCCGTTCGAGGGATGGCTTCGGGGAGCAGTGGAGTCGCTTCGTCTGACCATTTCCAACCCCCTCGCCTCCAAAAGTGAAACAAAACAGCGGGGATCTCTCTCTCACACCCCCTTGGCGGGGGGCTGCCTCTGCGAGGGGCGCAGAAGATGGAGAGGAGACTGGACCGTCTTCCAGGAGCGCCGTGCCAGCCAATCAGAGCGCG